ATCAACGTTTACAAATTCACAATGTTTTTTTACTTTTGAGAAATCTTTTTTTTTTTTTTTATTTACAGTACAGATATGTTACATCGTAACTTGAAAATTTCTCACAAATCTTTCCTTACTCTTATCTAGCTACGGCAAGATAAAATACATTAGATAAAGTTAGACGTTTAAAGCATAAAACTCGATTATCGATTACGTGTTCTGTTAACTTCTTAAGTGAGATCCTGTTATTTTGTTTCTTTTAGAAAAAGAAAAATCGATTAACTCTCCAAGAATAATAATCTCGAACAATGCAAAAAGATATTGGCATTATAGAAATTTTATAAATTTTTAAACAAATATAACTCAATTTATATATAGAATCGGTCAATTTTAATATCTTCATAATAAATAAAAAAGAAGCTGATCTAGAAAATATATATATATATTCATTCTTTATAATAATTTTTTTTTTAATTTAAAATTTAAAAAGAAAATTATTTTGCAGGATTCTTTATATCTTTTACAAGAAAAAATGTATATACATGATAGATATCTATGTGTGTATTGATATATATTTGAATGAAATTTTTAATGGACCTATTCCCTTTTGCTTCTTTTATTGATTATAAATATAGTGACACGTCAGAGGTAAATTTAAAGTGCAAAGGGTTAAACTTTAGAGATTCGATGCAGATATATACACAGGAACGTACATGTGCATATACTTTGAGTTACTACTTGCATTATATTTGGAAAGAATGGCATCGAGTTGTTTGTGATGATGGATTGTAAAATCTGCTGATGTGAAGTAAGGTTGTTTTCGAGGTGAGTGTTAAGAATAGGTAAGTAGATTCCCGTAAGTAACAAGTTTTCTTTAAATTTTGTTACGATATAATATTAAAGCATGGCATCCGATTAGAATAGATTCTGGAGGAAAAAAAAAATAGAGAATATTTGATGAAAGAAAAATCTAGAAAAAATAAGGATGTGCTTTTTAAAGAATCAGAAAACAATACTCAAATTGCAATGGTCTATTCTTAATACGTAGATAACATTTAATCGTCTTTTAACAAAATATTACAAAATTTGACCAAATACGGCTAAACTAAATCTATTGAAATTTAACAGAACACTTTTGTGAAATTTGAAATTGTAGGGCTTAACATTTTGGTCAAACGCTGAAAGAGATAGATCTAGTTCCTTATGTCAAGAGCTTAAAGGACTTAGTACGGTCTTGCCTAAAAATATTCTATACTTGATATGATTCTGTCCTCAAAATTGAAAGTACACATTTCATTGACTCGAATATTTTAGATACATATGTAGGTTAGATATATATTTCAAAAATGTATAAACTCTTTTAAGCTAAATCCTTGAAACGCGAAATTTCGAGTTGACAGTAGAATCGAATAATATGTTTCAATGTATATAAACGAGATATCTGGAATATTGGTATAACCAGACGGGAAATGATCTTACGTAGAAAAATAAGTCAAAAAAAAAAAAAAGAAAAAAAAAACTGACATTATTTCGTTTGCAAACCATATTTTCAAAAAAAATCGTATTTAAAAAATTAAACTTATCTCTTTTATGTTCATTCTTATTACATAGAGTATATGAAGAGAGAATTATCATATATTATATAGTATAATTTGAAATTATTATAAAAGCGTTGAGTATGTGTTAGTTGAAAAGAGAATATTTGCTTGTATGTCACGCAAATATTATACTTTTACATAGACTACAATATATTAATAGGAAATATGCAAGCTAGACTAAAATGTTATTCTCTCTTTTATAACTCGTATATGTACCATATCAAAAGGATCATTAAGCCATATTCCGTTGTATATAGTATTCTCGCGTTTTCAGCGGTTGCCTTCCTTTTGCAAACAAACTTGAATGTTTCTCAACGTGCGTATTCAAAGAGAAGCGTGAATCTCTTTACCGTCTCTTTCATATAAAGTGCATTATATGACCGTGTATGTGCTACTTGTACGGCGTAATTTGAAAAAAAGTTTTCGCTTTCCGTCAGTCCAACTTCTAACTTAAAGAAATATGAAATTCTCTTTTTCTCTGTCTATTTTATATTTAAAATGTCTGTTTACTTTCGAATAATTAAAAACTATAATATCTTCAAAAATTTGTTGATATGAATAATCAGGAACAATCGAACGCAAATTTTATAATATATTTTTTCGCTACGTTTAAAATTTTCCTTTTTCTATTTGTCGTTTTTTAATCTTCAAAATTTTTTTGCTTAAATTAAACTTACAGGACTTAAATTAAACTTACAGGACTTAAATTAAACTTAAAGTTTGGAAGATCGATTAGTCTATGTATTATATTTTCCACCAACATAGAAATGTAAATGTTAAACATTTTTCTTTCTTCTTCTTCTTCTTCTTCTTCTTATCTTATCTTGTCTTTTTATTTTCTTCTTAGTCTTTTGCTGCTTAATCTTCTTTTTCCTTTTCCGGAAAAGTTTTGCTTTAGATAAAATTTATAGAATATACACGAGCCATCTGACATATTCGCCTTACTGCATAAAGTCAAGCTGTTAGTATATATCATATTATTCAATGCCAGTCATCTTATTTCGTTTTCTATCATCTTAATGGTATGTGTTCCGACAAAACTTTCCCCGTAGGATTAAATAAAAAAACTCACCCTCGTCTGTTTATATTTTCCCACGTAAATGCTCGAAAGAGACTTGGCTTTATAAATCGAGAGAGAGAGAGAGAGAGAAAAAATTAGCAACTTTTTTTTTCGCGAGAATATGAGTATATCATAAAAAATAAATGAGATATAATTTTAACATAAGGGGATTGTTTTGGTTGTTTGAAAATTATGTATGTGAGTACACACATACATGTCCTTAAAGGATAATCTAAAATGCCGTAAATAACGTGTGCGTGTATATGCGTGTTTGTGTGTGTGTGTGTGTGTGTGTGTGGTGTGCGTATGTACATATACATATGTAGACAAACAAACATCCTACATTTATAAAAGAATTTTTGTTAAGCTTGTAAAAAGCTGCAGTGTGGCTTATCTCAAATGATTTTTTTCTCTACATATACATGTTCCTTTCTCAATGTAAATAAAGGGAATGAGGGGGTTGGAATCACCTTCTATATTCGTCTCACGTTTTTTTCCCTTTCGAATATATTCGAGTAGCTTGAAATAGACGTCGATCTGATAATATTGAATTTTCTTTTGATCGGGACCATTTTATCCTATTCCTTTTTTTTTTTTTTTTTTTTTTTTTTTTTTTTTTCATGACTGATGCTTAAATCTCGGGACGGAAGTCTTGCAAAGTAACGGAGTATCTAAAGTCGACAAATAAAAACTTTTTCCGTTGCTTTCATGAGCTTCTAAAAATAAAGTGCTACCTACCAAGGTGGCCGAGGATGGAGCCCTTTCACGGGTTTCGCTCACGATGCATGGGTTTCGCCTTAAAATCGATTTTCTTCCTTTATCGTGGCAAATGCGTTCCTCGCTTTTCCAACTGACATGTACTTTAAGTCAATGCAGAGAGAAAATTTACATTTTTTACAAGGTTTCGCCTTATATCTTCGAATATATCGATCGATCGACCAATACACATAAGTCACGGTTTAATCTTTCAAAATGAAAAAGAATCTATGTGAGAAACGAGGAAAGGGAAATAATATATCTTCTTTAATTCGTTCTCTCAAAAATAGAGTAGTCGAAGAATAATAAAAATTCTCTTTTAATCGTAGATTTATATGTCTGCAGTTGAATAGCGTCCGTTACAGTGGTCGCCTCGTCACTCTTCTTTACAGGCCTTTTTTGACCTTTTTTTTTTTTTTTTCGTTTACAGAACCAGGATCGCTATTATTTATCGTTGGACACATCGTCATTTTTCACAAAGCCGTATTAGATAGTCGACATTTCTTTTCTTCTCTTGTCGCGAGAAAAGCTGTCAGCGTTCGACGAGACGTGATTGTTGCTCCATTTTTTCTTTCTCTCTCTCTCTGTCTTTTTTCTCGACAAATAAAGAAAATTTTTAGAAAATTTTAATTAATAGACATTGTTATCTTCTGTCTTTTAACGATTTTATTGTTGCGAATGATTAATTAATAATTAATTAAAACATTTTTCTTTTTTTTTTTTAATCATTATGACGATAAATTTATAAGTTTTAAAATTCGTGGAAAGAAAAGTGGTATCGATTTCAGTAGCTGTAGTTCAAAGCTTGTCGCTTTATTTACTGGAAGAAAATTAATCGGCAGCTTGTACGTACAAGCACAGGCTAAAATTACAACGTTACTCTTAGAGAGTGAAGGTTTAATAGAACCCTTGAGGGACTTGCGTATCACGACACCCTCGTAATTAATAAGTATCTACATTCTAATCGCGTACACTTTATCCACTTGAAAGCATTGTCGCGTGTTATGTTATACATATAACATCAATAATATGAAGCTGAAAATTAAATTGGAATGCAAAGACAAATTTTGAAGAAACGTATGTCGATGTTTGTCAAAAGTTAGTTGAGTTCTTTGATAAAAATTCGAGGGAAAATTTATCAAGAAATAATTCAGATCTATGAATCTCTAAAATTTATAATAGATAATTTTCAAATTCATTAATTCGAAATTGTGCACATGAAATTGCAATGAATAGTCAAGAGTATTATTATTATTATTCGAGGTGTCGAAAATAACGGTAGGTATCAAAGTTAGTGACAAAAGGAGTCATAGGGATAACACGTACAATTGATAGAGTTCCAAAGTCGTATCTGAATCATTCAAGGATAATCTCTTAAAAGATAAAATTAAGTCGTAAAACGTAACTCGCTTCTACGGGATATCCAAATTCTATGCGAATAAGGAGAAGGTAAAAACGATTATGTGAGGGTTGCGCAGCTTTCAAAGAAATAATCTTGAAAAGGACAACGCCGGGAGCGTAATGAGGTCTTGGTAAAGCGAGTTTAGAAAGAACGATGATTCAAAGAATGGGAAGGGATTCGCCGCGAGCATCGAACGACTTACCTCCGAAAATCCCTGCTCCAGCAAGCGTATATAACTGGGTTCATGCCGCTGTTGATCCAACCGAGCCACGTGACGGCAGCAGAAACAATCTCCTCTTGCCAGATACACCTGGCGCAGAAACCCGACCATAGATTCACCACGAAGAAGGGTAACCAGCAAACGATAAAGACTCCCATGACGATGCCAAGAGTCTTTGCGGCTTTCTTTTCCTTCGCAAATTTAGCGAGTTTGCGCGACAAGGAAAAGTTTTTGCCGAGATGTTGTTTGTTGTTGATCCTCGTGGAAGGTACTCTAGTTAATCCATTATTGTGAAGGGCCGTAAGAGGTTCCTCGAGATCTTGTAGATCTTCTGGCGTGCTCGAGGCCGTACGAAAGAGATGCCTCGGGTCCACATTCGTATTTGCTCCACCAGTGCTAACACCACCACCACCACCACCACCACCACCACTGCCGCCACCACCACCACGATGTATCCTAAGAGTAAGTTCGAGCTCGCCGGAGGCCATCATCACTTGTTTCGTACCCAACTTGAGACTCCTCGTTTGTATCACCGCGGCTCGATAGATCCTATAATAGGTGAAGACCATAACGAAGAGCGGTAAATAAAAGCTAATCGTGGAGGAGAATATCAAGTAACCGAGATGTTCAGTGAAGGGACACTTGTCCTCCGGCACTTCCTCCGTTCTGACTGCTCTCCACCAAGCTATCGCTGGAAAAGATATCGCGCTTGAACAAATCCAAACGATCGCGATCAATATCGCCGCACGTTTTCTACTCATCCTCATTGGATAGGTAAACGGATCGGTGATGGCCCAGTAACGATCCAAACTGATCACGCAGAGGTTCAAGATCGAGGCCGTCGAGAAGAGTACGTCGAGGGAACGCCAAACGTCGCACCAGTCGGTCGTAAAAAGCCATCGATTCTCGAGAACTTCATAAATCGCGCTGAACGGCATGACGACCAGGCCTACGAGGCAATCGGCAAAGGCCAACGACGTAACGAAATAATTGGTCGCCGTGTGAAGATATCTTTCTCTGATGACAGCAAGAATTACCAGGCTATTACCAAAAACTGTTGCCACGGAGAAGAGAAAAAGAACCACTGCTAGTCCAGCACGATCGCTTGCTAATTCCCAGAAATCTTCGTAGCTACGATTTCCACGGCTAGCATTGTAAAAACTTCTGTTGAGTTCACCGCTAGGTTCCCTAGCTTCTGCCTCTTCTTCCCACTCGAGCAGATAAATCTCGCTCTCATTCATCTTTCGTTCCTCCACGGCTTCCCCCTGATTCTCCTCCAGATCCGTCAGCCTTCGTCGAGCGTCTCGGCTACAAGCGTCAGGTCGTCGGAATTGCCGTCCTTACTTTCTTCCCTCTTCTTATCGATCTTGTCGTCCGCTTTCTCATCTTTGACGAAATATGCTTAGAATCCTTTCCGCTTCCTTTATCTTCCTTGTAAGATCGAGAATGAATACTCGACGATAGCCTGCCGTTTAACTTTCGGACTAAGGATCAAAGCAATCGTTATTTGCTCTACGAGAGTGTGTTCCATCGATGCCTCCTCCTCTCTCTCTCTCTCTCTCTCTCGCTCTCTCTCTCTCTTTCTCTCTCTCTTTCTCTCTCTCTTTCTCTCTCTTTCTCTCTCTTTCTCTCTTTCTCTCTTTCTTTCTCTCTCGGTCTGGAACAAGCGATAACACCGCTGTTAGTCTTGAAATCCGATAACAATCGACTACATTTATGTCTCGACGAACTCTCCTTATATTTGATAATAACGAAAATTATATTATTTAATTCGAATATTTAAATGAATTTCTCGGCCAAATTGTGATATATAAGTGTATACATACACACACACACATACACACATATTTGGGTGAAATATATCAATTGATCAAGGATAGGAACAACTTGTCTATATTCGATAGTAGAAGGCGTTTCGACAAAGTTTCGACGGTGTAAGGGATTTCATGAAGAGAAGAGACGAAACAAGCCGATCCATTCCGAACCGAGCCTCGAGGATCGAACATTGGGCTGACCGAACGGGCTCTCATCCGTGACCCAGGCGAATGTTTACCGGTACTTGATCAAAGCACATTCGACCCCGAAGCCATGTATCCTCGCGCAACCTGACGATGCCAATGGTTAGGGGCTTCCCAAGCATCAAGTGTTGTATATATTCTCTCGCATATCCCTAGAAATTCCCTTTTCCTAAACTATATGCAACGAGTCTAGAAAATGATTTTGAGCACCACTGACAAAACTACTTCACATTCGTAAAAAAATAGATAACAGTAGAGAAACATTTATCGTTATTTTTGTTGAATATATTTTTGTATTCATTTAATTTTTCGTTATTTTATATTTTTTTATATTCATAATAAAGTCGAAATTAATTTAAGAGAATAATAGAGAGAAAGAGGGAGAGAGAGAGAGAGAGAAAGAGAGAGAGATACAGTTGTGGGAAATGAATTGTTCAATCCGCATCTTTAATACATAAGTTAATCATTCCTGTCAATGTGTTGGATTCCTTTGACAATGTCGAAGAAGGCATCACTCGTTAAACCAGCACAAAATGATTTGGCCTCTTCTCATAAGGTCGAGAAAAATATAAAGACTGTTTAGTTGTTCCGTTGCCTCGGATCGATGAGTATGTTATTCCGGATTTAAAGCGAAGACGATCGAAAAAAGTTATATTCTCGAAAATTTAATATTAAGACTAAATTTAGAAAAGTGTTCAAGAACAATGTCGGAATTATTACTTTTCACGTATATCAGCTTCTGTATCATTTTCGTAGTACGGTCACATCCATTGGAACAGAACATTTCAGATAACACGATTTTAACATCGTTAAATCATCTAAGGGATAACAAAACGGAATTGTATTGTCCATGCTTGAGAAATATAACATCCTCGACACAAATTAACAACAACCCGATCTATCTTCCGATAATTCACGGTACGATTTGGAAATGCAATTTTGTTGGGAATAAACTTATGCGAGACGATTATTATTATTTTCCTGGAATTGGTTCACACAAATTACATACGAGAGCAAAGACTTGGAACGAGGCGAGAAAAATCTGCATTGAGGAGGGTGGTCACTTGGCTATTATCAATTCCATTGCTGAAGCTAATGTTAGTATGAATGATTAATTAACTTTCTTTGATAAATGCTTCAAGAACAAGATTTATTATCGTTTTTACACAATTTGAAGGACGATCGATTGAAAAGTGTTAGATAAGGCAAAGAAGGATTTTTAATTATTCTTCCTTCATTCGTTCGTTTCTCGATTCTAGATACTTTTGAATTTATTTAACCAATCCGGTCCTATCAAGGGTGCTACTAATAACAATATAATCTTGTTGGGAATTCATGATCTCTATACTGAAGATGACTGGGTGACGATACAAGGTGATTCCTTGGCAAAAAGTGGTTACAATGCCTGGACTGACAGATGGGGAGGTCAACCTGATAATACAAATGGCGTACAAAATTGTGGAGCCCTGTTAGAAGATGGTAAACTCGATGACGTAGCCTGCGACCTTCCTTTTGCATTTTTTTGTGAAATTCCTGACATATGATCAGTATCTTATATTAATTAAGAATAACCTAAATTAATTAGCGCTCTGATTTTATTCTTCTTGAATATTATATTTATATTTGTGAAAAAAGAATACATATATCTTATCATCTAATGGATGAAAATTTCATTTTTATTTCTGTTCGAAGGGCAACTTAATTTCATAGATTTGAATACAAATAGAAATTTATTCTTGCAATATAATACCAATAGAATTTTTGTATCTTAACTTTCGAAATATTTGGCAGTATCTACAAATTTTGTTTCCTGAATCTAAGTAAGGTTGGTACTTTAAAAATACCTTATATTTCTTTATTTCCTTTGAATTTTATATGAATTCGAAAAGCGTTTGAAAAGCTTTTGTCTATAGTATCATGACCTTTCGCGAGCTTCGATCACGAAACGTATTGAAATTCGTATCAATTTCCTTCGGCTCTTCGATTATTCGATTCCATTGTCGAAACGTTTCTTGGATTGTAAGGAATAGTGCACCTTAAGCGTTATATTTGAAAAAGAGGAATTCTTATTTTCCTCGTACGAAAAAGCAATTGAAACAAGTTATATCGATAGTATTCTTACAAAAGAATGAACTGTTATATGTAGATAAGAAATATTATGAAACATTTTGTTTCACGTATCGATATAATATGATCATATAATCCTATATATAGCCTTTAAATCTTTTGCTAATTTTTGTTTTTTTTTTGTTTTCGAGCTAATTTTTGTCGTCAATAGATTTTCCAAAATAGTTTTTCTTCCTTTTTTCTTTTTTTTTTTTTGTTTTTCTTCTTTTCACGAAAGTTAAAGAATAATTTGTAATAACTACCGGCAACAACGGTGAATACAAACGAATTCCAAAACCTTTATGAATTGCGGTTCGTGGAGATAGTAGCTGGTTGGAAATCGTTTGGAAGCCAGCCAATTTTGCTCTCTAGCAATTATTTCACGCCGTTTCTGTGAAACTCGCGGAAGAATGAACTTGGCCGTCATACCATTTCGCCCTCACTATACTATTTCCTGAATTATACTTCTTTCGTCCTCTTTTCTTCGAAATTTTGTCTCATATTTCATTCAATTTTTCCTTATCATCTTCTGCAACTTCTCTTCTCTATCCACCATCAGCACTTTTCATATTGTCTATATATTAGATATATCTTGGAATTAGAAGAAAAAAAAATCCAAGTCACGTTGGATTATCGATTATTAAACAAGAGTGTATTTTAAATGGCCAATGATCTCAGATCGAGTTCATAGCTAAACGAAAGAAAGAACAATATCGAGTTTTATCGTATAGGTATGGCGAAAAACACTCGGGATAAAAATAGTTGTTGAGTTAACGCTGTAATCGATATCTACTTTGTGTGCCACTTTTCTCGTCCTAGTCGTTAGGCACTTGGTCGAACGCGAAAGAAAATTCGCTGGTTAGGCGAAATACGAGGTGTAAATTTGATCAGAAAAGTAAAACAAGGATAATTGCTGGACGTATAGAAGCAATAGTAATCAAGCGACTACCTTAAAATAGAGAGTGAAATAGAGAAACGGTATTGCATCATGCTCCATTTCAAAAGTTATTACTCGAGCTGTAATTTCGTTATAATGGCAAGTCCTCTATTTTATTCTCGACGACATGATTTTATCCTGTTTCATGTTTTGTTAAGAATATCGCGTGAAAACCCGAATGCCGTTTAACCCTTTGACTGCAAAAGAATGACCTCGAACGCGCGAACACCGAGTTTTATTTATAGTCATTAACGTGGCTTTGGAAGCAAGGACGACAACAGTTATTTGCGAGACCTATCTTCATTATCGGCATCGTCATAATCGTCATCGTCGGCGACCCTTCGACCCCTCTTGTTATCTATTTCTTCGCGCGCATATCCGTTTAACGCAATACGTCATCATTGAACTTCCATCTCTGCGACTTACGATCGATAACCAAGATAAAAAGAAAAGACGTAAATTGATCTATCAATTTGTTAATTGGAAGAAAAACAAATTATCATATAAAATTATCTCTTTCTTTTTGTTCTTTTATTTTGTTTCCTTTCATCGATGCCAATAATATTAAAACATTTCGACTCGATTTGATTACTTTCGAATTCTTAAAATGACCATGTTTTCTCATATTTTATTATATCGCCTGTATTCGTATTAATTCGAATAGATTTAAAAAGCTCGCAGGACATAAAAAAAAAAAAGAAAAAATGCCAATAAATAAAAGGGAATAAAACGACAAATCCAGTCTTTGAACTTTCGTCCCCATTTCTCTTGAGACTATCCTTGAAACTTTCAAGAGAAGGAGCCAACCCCGCAAAATATCCTTCGAGTCAAAATCGAACCCTTGAGATTTCAAAGAGTTTCGGACACGTCAAGGGCACACAGGGAGGCCTGTCGATTTACTTTTTTCTTGTTCTTTTTTTTTTTTTTTCTTTTTCTTTTTTTCTTTTCTTTTTCTTTCAATGTCTTTCATTTCAGTTATGCAGACGTGACATGAACGAATAGAACAAAAGTATAAAACACTATCACGAATAATCGATGATAAATTCAAAATGGTTTCGTGAACAAGTCATATTTCGATTTTCGTAAAATTCACGTGACATGTACATATATAGCCTTAATCCTGTAGTATTCGCATAAATTATTATTTCTATTTACGAGCATTCTAGCGTTCGAATTTCGTACTTGGAATCGTTCCATCCACTTGTGTCGTTTTGACGTTAGCACCGATATATATTCGTTCTGTCTCTTTCTCTCCTCTCTCTCTCTCTCTCCTCTCTTTCTCTTCCACTTCCTCTTTCTTTCGAATAAGAGCGGAAAAGCTTTTGTGAAATTGTTCGTGCAAACTATCGTCTTCTACTTTTTGGATAGCGTCCTGCACCGGACCGAGAGACGACTACACGTTATCGGATATTTTCTCTTTCTAGAATAATTTTTACGTTTCTAGCGGACGACGATGCTTTTGTTTCTGCTCGATCGCCGTTTCACTGGAAATAAAAGAAAGGTTCTCTCGCGAAAGCCATGAACGTAAAAAGGAGACAACAACCACCTAGAGAAATACCTAAAGGAAAGTTACCAATTATGGGAAAGTATTCTAATTTAAAAGTATGTCTATCTACATATAAAAATAGTCCTCTCTATCATCAACAACGTATTCAATTTATAAAAGTCTTCTGCAAGTCACTGTACAAAACATTTTCAATATTTGCCAATTTCACAGGTTTGCACGGCATTGGACAAATTATACATTTGTGTGTTCTTCTTTAAATAAAAAAAAAAAAAAAAAAAAAAAAGAAGAAAAAATCAAATTGTATAAATCTATATATTAAGTTTAATACATCAATTGCATAATTACATAAAAGTTACATATGCTTTTTTCATTACTAATTCTTATCAATTATTTCTTGCCTGTTTGTTTATTGTCAATTCATTTATTTTAACAAATTTATCCAGTTATAAGCTTGACGACGTGCTTCTAAGTATCAATTTATGTACCAAAAAAAAAAAAAAAAGATTTCTATACAAAAAAGTAATGTACTTTTCGAGCAAAACGCGATATAATACCGATCTAAAGCTTCCTCTTCTCTCTCTCTCTCTCTCTCTCTCTCTCTCTCTCTCATGATTTTTTGAGGAACAAACAAATGCGAGGGATGCGTTATCGGTTCGTAGAAAAGTATTCCCGTGAAGGACAAATCCCCTTGAAGATCGCGTAATCCGCTTATCGCGTCCCTCGACGGCCACCCTTTTCGGATGTGACAGTGGATCGCAACGTTTGGATTATGCCGAGACTGAGGGACGGAACTAACTAGGACGAGAAAGGAATGGTAGAAAAGCATCACTAAAAGAGCCTGAAACCGTGGAGAAGTGAAACAAACCGAGGGGTCAAAGTTCTTATTCGCTGAAGCGTATAATGACTTTTCTAACGGATGCTATGGAATGTCGCTTTTCGAGCTTTCGTTTCTTCTTTTCAACGAAATAAATTTCACTCGATAAGCTCTTTTCGTACGGTGCGCGAAAGATCAAAAACGAGAATAGCTACATGTTTTCAAGATTTCATAGTAAATTGTAGAAAAAGTATATAGAACAATGCAATATATTGAAATATTTTTATATTTTATATTTTTATATTGTATTTTAATATATTTAAATTTAAAAATCTATCTCTTGTTCGGAATTTATTCATATGTTTGACAATTAATTAAATAAAAACGAAAATTGTTATTGTTTTGACAAATATTTTTTATCGAAGATAAAAATAATTGCCAAACCAATAGCATAATTACTATTAAAAAAAAAAAAAAAAAAAAAAAAGAACATACTCTAATTGTATGAAACATTTCAAAAATTTTCAACAATTTTTTAATTTTGTATAATTGATCAAATAATTAATTATTTCCTTTTATAACCGAAAGCCAAGATCCAAAGCAATATATTTGAATTGTATTCACCTATCCTATTTAGATGAGAATATAGATTGATATGAGAGTAATATTTAATACCTGATTGTTCAATCTGATCGTTCTTGTTCAAGGTCAAGTAAATAATTTTCTTTCGAGCGATAAATGAGTCAATTAATTCACTTATTTTGGTTGAATCTCGACGAATGGCACATCTAATTGAATCTACCAAAGAAATAAATCATCAATAAAATAATTGTTGAACTCGATTTCACTATTCTCTTCCAATTTGCTATATATAAAAGTTTAAAAAAACAAACAAACAAAAAAGTCAATTACACGAGAACATATCCGTTATGTATCGATCGCGAAACTGTTCGTAGCCTGAAGCGACGGTTGACCGACGTATCGAGGAGGTCGATTACCGAATGGACAAATTGAAAGATTGAGCCTGATTGGTGTCGGGTATCGCGCAAACGGCGGAAGTCGTCTCGCGTTAACCGTCCACCCGTTTTGTAGTCGGTCGAGACTCCCGTAAAAATGGTTTTTCTCTTACGAATACTTCTCATTCGACTTTTCTTCTGATCGTTGGATTATATATCGATCGATGAATATTTTTAACGCGTGAAAGAAAGAAAGAAAGAAAGAAAGAAAGAAAAAAAAACACCTTGTATATATCCGCAATATATGTATCTATATAATATATGTCTATATATATATATATATATATATAGATATATATTATACATGAAAGAATTGGCAAAGTTATAAAACCGTCGTTTGTATTCTTTGAACGAAACCCTATTCGTGCCTCCGACTACGATTTTATCTAACTACGAAGAAATGGAAGCGTAAGAAAAATAAAATAGTAGGTAACGACTGCAAACTGATTAGGCGTGATGGATATTAAACGGGGTTACTGCTCAACCAACTGGCACTCTATATGCACGAATCTATAAGAGAATGCTTTTAACTCCCGCAATACCGGCACACGCAAACTAATTGTTCGAACGTTGACCTTCTGTAGCTTGAACCGATTTCAGATATATTTCTTATGGAATTACTTTTTTATAACTATCGGTACACTCGAGTAATTTAATCTAACTTGAATTTTTACAAGTAGCTCGGTACTTGGCTATGAAATAAAGTATCAAGTAGAGAGATACAGATGAACAAAAGGCAAAAGGGGAAAAGAAAGTAAGATGGGGAAAAACAGAGAGCTGAGTCAATTTGATAGTCAAAGGGTTTTTCCGAGTCGTTCGATTTTATCGATACAATTATTTCATAGATAACAGAGGAGAAGTCTGTACGATCCGTTTCCAAATACTATTTTCTACAACTTCGAAAAATGTCTAAAATTGACGTTCAATTTTAAAGAAACAAATACTAGTTTGAGATACTATACTCCCTTTCCATAATCCATTTTATAGTAATCCACCATACTGTTTTATTTGGTATATTTTTAAGTATTGTTTTTTTTTTTCTTATAACTATTTTCTATCAGAATCGAAAGAGATATTGCCAATTAATTAAATAAAAGCGAAAACTGTTAGTGTTTTGAAAAAGATTTTTTACCAAAGATAAAAATGATTGCCAAACCAATAGCATAATTACCATTTAAAAAAAAAAAAAGAAAAAAAAGAAAAACATTCTTTAATTATATGAAACATTTCATAATTTTTCAACAATTTTTTAATTTTGTACAATTGATTAAAAAATAATTATTCCCTTTTATAACTGAAATGTCGATCGATAGATCATTGAGAACGTCAATTATGATATCTTATACTAAAAAAATTACTTGCAATATTTTTAGTGACATATTTCCAATCGACAGAATGATAAGTCTCTTATTTTTCTACTCGCTACCAGTTGCCTGCATTTTTAATAACTGTCGCTGCATCATGTCATATGTTATTTGTCATCATCGAAACTTTATCGTTTCCGCTATATTAGAACGACCAAGCGTGTTATAAAGAAGCTTTACGGTGGACGTGATGCCAGTTCGCCATAACTTCAACACGTGACTCGTAAGAGGAGCCAAAAAAAAAAAGAAATAAAGAAAGAAAAAAATAAAGGAAGTACAAAATAAATTGGTAATTATTTTTATAACTAGAGAAAAAATGATACATAATTTTGAAACTCGAAAATAGAGAGATATATTAATTAACATTTATATCTTACATATTATATACATTATTTATTGTTCATTCATTCATTCACTGTTCAACATTCCATGATTGACAAATATAAAATTAATAATAATAATAATAAACAACGAATAGTAACAGAGATTTTTTTAATAAAATATTTTACATAGACGATGTTGTACATCTCTGATTCCTGTTATCAGATTATTGTTGTCCTTGTCATCTAATTCAACATTCTGCATAATTCAATCTCGTAGAACTTCTTGTTATTCATCGTAGAACAAGAGGGTCTGGATTTTTCAGTCCTATAATCAGGAATATTCTGTGAAATATATTCTTCGTTCTCACGTACAATTTTCTGGTATCGTCTATAAAGTCGTCTCAGGTTATCGTCATCGTGTAACAGGGTGTAATGCATGATTACTTCCTTTTTCAATTTTTCATATTTCCCAATAACTGGTGGGTTCATTATGATTCTTTGAAGAACCGGAAAACATATTGAATAAAGATGAGTAACGATGTAACCAAATTTACTAGAATCATTCGTGACGCCAGACGAAAGAAATTCCTGTTCAACTTCCTCGAACCACTGTGTAATGTTGAATGCCTTAAATGATGGAATTCGCACTGGTTTACACTCCACCGATGTAGCCATTCTTCAAGGTATTGCTGATTTGTCTCTTTTATATCACAACCGTATACTTATTAAATTTTAATATTAAGAAGACACTTTTTAAATATTACATAGAAATGTATAAATTTTAATGGATAAAAATCACTCTCACGATGCTACGTAAATGGAACGTAAATTGTAAGGTTATGTGCAGATCGACGATCGACGAATTTTGAAGTACTTCGTATGGACGACATAACAAGAATGAATATGTGCTATGCACGTCCGAGTATTTATTTCGAAAGATAAGATTTGAAGAAGTATAGAAGGGGAAATACGATAAGAGTATAATCGTCTTTCCCTTTTACAAATCTTCAATAAGAAAGAGAGTTACCCTCGTATCGTTCCACCCCTCCTTTTACGATATCATTGAGCTAAAAAAAGGGGTAAACTTTCCATTTACAATAGAAACGAAATAAAAATTCAAAATAATAAGGTTTCGAAAAAATAGGATAAGGGATCGTCAAACGATCATTGTGTTCCGACATCGGGTAAATCATAGATCAAGATCCAAATACACGAAGTACTATCAATCACCAATCAATCTTTCGATAAGAATCTCTTAAAAATTTATATGCATCGTGCATATTTTTATACGAGCATAACGCTATCGAGTGATCGTAAAAGTGTTAATAAAGGGAAAAAAAAAAAAAAGGATATTTCAAAGATCGATGACGTTCAAACGTAAGTAAGCACGGAATGATGCGGCATTTCAAATACGAAGAAACGTCGATATCCGAACAAATCAAGCAAGGTAAATGGGATTGGGCGGTAATCTCGAAGACGTTCCTTGTGCCACGAATAAGGATGTAAATCGTCCCTGACACTCGACTTTTTTCTTCTTCGTTTCTTTCCTTCGTTTCTCGTTCCTTCCACGATTCCTTCGAAAATCGATCTTCATCGCGTTCAAATTCTGTTCGCAAAGTGGGAAATCGCGTTCATTTAGATAGATATTTCGGTAGATCGTCATGAACATACTTCATTGCCGATTTGCTGATGCATTTTTAAGACGCGAAGAATTTAGAAGAGTGTTGTCAAATGTCTGCAAAATCATATCAATTTTTTTCTTAACGTTCAATATGAATATGTAATAATGAATACATGACATATAAAATATTTTAACATTTTATCAGTAAGAAATACATTATTTAATAAAATTGAATTATTAAAAATATTTTCTTTTTTATGATGTTTACGGGATATTATTTGGCCATCGTCGGTGATTAGTAGCCTAAAGGTATCATATAGATAAGACAAAGGTTTTTATGAGACTATCTATAAGCAGTGTGCATATTAATTGACCAAATGTTATAAATTTGGTATCTTTGTTTTTTAGTTACGCTCCTTTATGGAAGTAATAAAAATATGTCTGGTTGATATATACACATTATCGTTATATAGCCCCATAAAATATCTTTGTTTATACACGATATAATATATATTTTGTTTATGAATAATTCTTTACAGTAATTAATAATAAACGTAAAATATATCATTCCGTGGTTTGTTTTATCTTTACTTATTCAACTTTCACTTATTTTTTATTTTGATAGGATAGATAAGATTTAGTCGAAAGATTTAGTTAGCCCAAATACATGTTATGACTCATGTTCGGCTTTTTCTCGGATAAATAGAGATAAATAAGAATTTGTTTCATTTAAAAATTTTAGTGCGTTACAAAAATGAAAGTTTAATGATTTTCAATCAATTTATAATAAATATCCAAAGAAATCATTTCTGTGATGAAGTAAAAAATAAGAATTGTTAAAATATCTATGCGAGTGACATAATTAATCAGGATTGAAATACAAAATATGTAACAGTAAATATGAACACATTAAACATCAATTTATAAAATGAACTCGCATATAAGTGAGAATATCAAATATGAAATGCGATATGAAATATTTTAATTGGTATAATTTTAGCAATTCTCCCCATATTTCTATCCCACTCTTTCTCCACTATGAAATATTTAAAACTTCTATCGTTTCTATTTCAAACTTTTGAAATCGGATACGGAAATATCCTCTTGCTCTGTATAAAAATTTACCTTGTGAAGAAATCGATTCGAACGAACGTAAAGAGTTCGTGAGTTTTAATAACGCTCTGACTCGTCGGGTCTACTACGGAGATTTTATTGATTTTTAAATGGCAAAGACTCACTCACTCTCTCTCTCTCTCTCTCTCTCTTTCTTTCTCTCTCTCTTTCCTCTCTCTCTCTCTCTCTCTCTCTCTCTCTCTCTCTCTCTCTATCTCTCTCTCTCTAAAAATGTACTCGTGAATTTGAAACGTGTTTTATTTTTTGTGCCTTTTCTCATCCCTTTTGTAAAATGTTAATTAATAATAAGATAGATATTATAATGATCTCGTGAAGAGTGAAAGATTGAAAAAAAAATTAAAGTTAAATCGTAATAAAATATTCATAAGATCGAATTATTTTCTAAAGAATAGAATTTGACAATTTTTTTTCTTTTTTTTTTCTTCCTTTTTATTTTTTCTTTATTAATTTCGTTGCTGCATTATCGGATCGATCTCATTGATTCTCTTCGTTCGTTAGATCTTAGAGAGAACGAGAGTTACTTGAGAAAAGACGAATTAACTTGTTACGATTCAATAGAATATGACCGAGAAAGCTTATCGTATAGTTGGACGAAAGCCCGCTCGCCCCTTATTCGTTAGGACTCCTTTCGATCATACATATAATCCGAGTCTCGATAATCCTCGGTCACCGGTGGTCTCGCTTACCCAGGCTCATCGATTCTATCTTCTTTTTTCATCGTCATAAACAGACTTTCTAGCTCCGACATATGTATATACATATATCTACATGATAGATATATACCGATGTGAATGGAAAATAGAAGAATTAAAATCAAATGCAAATTATTAAATCATTAGGAATTTTTTTCTGGAATAACTACTAAGTTAATTTATCTGGTGAGAATAACAGAACGAGTATCTACGTTAGCAAAGTCATTCGGTTGAAATTCGAAACGAAGAGAAAAGATAAGAAATGGAAGAAAAAAAGAAGAGAAATGTGCACCTACTATACTTAAAGCTCTTTTATCCTGATTGGCGCGAGTCCCACGATATCTTACTGATCTTCTCTCTAATGGAGCCACGAAAATACACTTTGTTCTATCCTCCCATTATTTCTACTTGCTCGAATGATCCTGCAGCGAAAAATCTAGAACATTTTGCTTTTCAAGGATATTCGAAAAATATCAATCTCTTCGAAATATTCTAAACCTTTGCACTATGAAATCATCGCTGGCATGACAATACTATCTTTCCTTTATAATTTTGACCTATCTCTGACGTGACACTTTATTTGCTTAATCAATGTAATCAATTATCAAAAAAAATACTTTCAAAGTATTAACTAAGCCAATAAGTAATATTGGAATTTGCCAAATATTAGTCATAAAAAATCTTTCAAAAATTCAATTAAAAATTTCTATATTACTTATATATCACATATAGCTTTGAAAAATGTATTTCTCTTTTCTTTTATTTTTCTTTGCAAATGGATTCAATGATTTCAAGGATATTTTCCTTTACGATAGAAAATATTTCGAATTTTATAAATTAATTTCAAATGAATCGGAAGTCGCAGCGTTACTGGGTCAAAGTCATCGATGAAATAGCTTATATACCTTCCTATCTATCTATCTTTATATATATACATACCTACATATGTATATATTGCGAACGCGATATCTAGAGAGACGTGTAATGGGATGGGAGCGATTTTAAAGTAAAGATTTTATTAAAAAATTATTTGCACATATGAACCTAGTCGGCTTCCACTTCGACATTAGAATGAATCGAATGCGAAGTATTTTTTCATTTCTAAATACCAAGGGGAGCGAGATACGATCCGGTCGTATCTCACGCAAATCCTTCGCATATTTATTGTTACTATATGTAAATATAATAATTATATATATAATATATCTTGTTTTCGATATCTCCCATAAATATCAAGTCCATTAATTTGCTTTAATTAACACGAATATCGTAATTGCAAGTAGTTAAAAGAAAGGAGAGATCGCGAGTAAAAAAAAAAGAAAAGAAAAAAAGTAATGTGAAAAAGTATTTGAAAAAAGAAAGAAGAAAAAAAAAAAGGAAAAAAAAAATCAGTAATAGAAACTCACCGAAATTTGTCAGAATCGTTGCGTCGAAGGCCGAAAGTGTTGTCGACGTTGACGATGTTAGAAAATTTTTCGCCGGGTTTTCGTAATTTTTAGTAGAGAGGATTTCTTTCTCAACGAGTATACATACGTGCGCGTGCGCTCAAAAGCTTAATTAGAGATGCACGATTAAACGAGAAGATAATACCGTTCAATTTAATTGCTCCACACCGAATAAATTTCGGACTAAGAAGCGAAGATTTTTTTCTCCGTAAGAACGGACGCATGTGCATTTTCCTATTTTGGATTACCCTAATTAACACGTAGATCTACATCTATGTGAGCGTATTTTCCCCCATGATAACGATAATATTCAAAAGAATAATTTCCGTAATTAAGGAAAAAGAAAAGGAAAATGCAAAATTAAATCTTTGATTCTCCCTATATGCGAGAAATCTCGATAAAAACTATATAAATTCTATATAGGTATATATATGTGTATATATATATATATATATATATATATATATACATATAGACAGATTGCAAACGTAGTATATCTGTATATATACGTATACATATATACTCGTGACTCATACAAATATGCGAGTCAAGTCTCGAGTACTTTAAAAATTTTTTCTTAAAAAATCACGAATTGAACCGAACGATAATCGATCGAATTCCTAACTCGTTCGCATTTTCTAATTTCTTCCTCCTCCACCTCTTCCTCCTCCACCTCTTCCTCCTTCTCCTCCTCCTCCTCCTCCTCCTCCTCCACTTTTTCTTCTTTCTTTCCTTTCTCGTTTTTTTCCACCGTTTTTCTTTCTTCTTACACTCGCCCGATCTAAAGTCGCATCCTCTCCCTGAACAACACAGAGAAGCACGATACACCGTCAAGTCGGACACAAAAAATATTTTCGTCGTTTCGTTCTATAATTCCTTCAAGATATTTTCAAATGTTGGATCTTTAAGGAAATACTTGGAAGTTTAAAGAAGTTTAATTTTTTTTTTTTCATGCTAAATTGACTAACATTTTTATATTGTATTATTAAAAATATTCTTTCGATCGATATTATGTAAATATAAAGCAAATACACACACGCACATATATATACATATATATATATATATAATATATGCGAAATTTGCTAAATACGAACAGAAAACCATACGCAAGCAAAGAGTGAGAAAAATATACGAGTGAATTTGAAATTCGAATTGCGGTGCCATACGGCCATTTTTCTGCAATTAACGAAAGAGCGACGGAAACGAGAGCCGTTCGAAAAATTGTACGATAATATTATCATCAAGATATAAAGATCAAAAATTCAAAGTTTTCATCGTTAGATTAAATCGTTGAATGCACGTTCACATTATGAACACGTTATAAAAAAATTTCTTAATTACTCTTTACGAGGACTGACAAGCCCCTTTCCAACTTGGTAAAGAGGACGTCCGGACGTTTAGCATTCCACGAAAATATCGAGCAAATTTTTCCACGAATTGTTACCACTAGATTTAATTTTGTTATTTTTTTTTTTTTTGCTCGACGATCAAATTATTACTGAAGATCGCGGGCGTGCGCGCGCCTACACATTATCAATAATACGAAATCTTCAAAGAGACTTTGCAATTTTATTGACAACTTGTTTTTCTTTCTGTTAATCTCTTTTGATTACTTGACGCTATTCCATTGACTATTCCACGTGTTTCAATCTATAACTATACCTAACTCTCAACGTTGTATGAATCATATTAAGCGGGAATTCACGCTAATGATAACTGCATGTTCATCGTATACAACTATTCGAGAACAAAGACGATGTTCGAACTTTATGAGAAGCCATGAAAAGCATTTTTTCTTAACAGGAATATTTCGAATAAGACACGTTGAACGTAACATCGTGTAAACGCGTTCTTTCCAATTCGTTTAAATTGAAACACTTTAAAAAATTTTCTTCTTCGTCTTTATAATTTATTATAATAATTTTTCTCTTTAGTATTTTATTCGTACTTATACGTGTTTCATTCGTCAAATTTCCATTAAAAATGTCATGATATACGATCAGTAGGAAAGGAGAAAATAAGGATTGGTTTAGAAATTTGTGAGAAAATAAAATATAACCGATCACGAAACACCATACACGAGACGTTACGAAAACGCGAATTAACCCACCCCCAGGATGTTCTTCCTCGAGGGAGCCGGAATGTATTTCGCGGTTTGAGAGGACCGACTGCGGCCGCCGCGTGACTCTAAAGCTTCGTGTTTGCCTCCGATTTGCGCTTGCGTCCTCTTTCCACCTTCCTATCTCTATAAACGCGCCCGCGCGCACCCACGCGCCAGCGCTATCCCTATATCCCTTTTGCAAGCTTGCTCCTTTCCTTCCGTCCTTCTTATTCTTTCTTTAATTTAACATTTAAATTTCAAACTCGAGATCGTTGACTGTAAGCAATATGAACAAAAATAAATAGTCGAGTGACTTCCATGTTAGTTTCTTCTTTTATTCCGACGAATATAAACGTCGGAGCATTCGCTTTTCAAACAGATAAACTTAAATAAATCATATTTTCGATTATATTAAAATTATTTAAACATTTCATAGGTCGGAACACGTATTAAATATAAAATAGAATTAAATTAATATTTGAATATTAATATTGCTTGTTTAAGTTAATAGAAATGAAATAATTTCTTAGAAAAATTCACAAGAAGCTTGTAGAAAGAACTCTTTATGACTGCAGATGTACTTAACATAGTTTGAATTTAAAATATTCGCAAGATTTTATAAATTCAATTGTTTCGACTTTCAGAATCTTTTTAGTTCTCCTTTACGGTACGCTTGTAGTTCATATTTTCTCCATACTTATCGCTGAAGTCACGAAATAATTGATAAACAACATGATTCATTTGTTTTTACCGACGACTTCGTCGAAAAAGATTTGTTTATTACATTTCTTTCGGCTGACTCATCAAAATTATTCGTCAATTTTTGAAACCGAAGCATTGAAATATTTATCGATAACGAACAAACTTTTCTAAACATTTTAGATCACAGATAATACGTCCATCTGAAAGTCTAGATATTTCGTCAATATGTGCGACCATTGCGCGTAAATATGATTTGAATTCATAATATACGTCATAAACGTTCACGCACGAACAAATGTATTTAATCAAATTTTTCCTTTATATCATATAGAAAAGTTACCAGTCAAAAAGGATATGCGGGCCAAATAACGTGCAAGTGCGAGCAGTAAGTATATAATTTTCTTTATCTTATTGTTAACTTAAATTTAAAATTACAAATCTATTGCGAAAAACTACGATATATTTGTACTAAACAAGGACGAAATTTGTTTCGCAGTGGCGAGAAGAAGGAGGAGGCCAAGAAGGAAGAATTCAGTGGCTGTTGCAGCAAAAAGTACGAACTCCATCAATTTTCTTTTACGGTTCGAGAAGCGACTTAAGAAGATAAATCGAGAAAGAGAGAGAGAAAGAAAGTTTATTCCTTGTAGTAAATTCAACGAATGATGACCATTAGGAACTCTTCTTCTTTCTCAACTTTTTAATTTTTTTCTTTTCTTTCTTTCTTTCTTTTTTTTTTTTTATTGGCTATGATTTTCGTTATCCTAATATGGCCGCCGCCATTTTCAGCATATCGACTCGTAATAACGCATTGATTCTTCATATTTAATTCGAAGATGATTTTTTTTTTTTGTTTTGAACGCAACGATTCAATGAGAGGAAATGCAATGGGTAAATCGATCGAATGTATGCGCAGAGAACGAAAGACGGAAAGTGGATGCTGTGGTGCCAAATGTTGCGCTGGTACGAAGGAACGTAGTAGTTGCTGCTGACATTCCTTGCTCGGAAAGGCCAGAAATTCCAATGTAATTCTTCCAATATTCGAAATCATTCGTGTCTTCTACGAAAATTGACGATACGAAGAGAACCATCGGGAGTACAATGGTAATGCACGGTGTGCGGCCATATGGATTTTTTATATTTTTTTTCTCTTAAAATTTGTTCTCGATATATGTTACATGTATACTTTTTTCTTACATTTTGTCTACTCTTAATTGATTACTCTGTTAATATTATTTATATTAATTAATTCAAAACAAACGATATTATATGTGTTAATACACTTTACGTTTCGAAATTGTTAAGTACTTATACTTATTACATTGAGTTAAGTCACACAATTTTGGCATCGTCGATTTATTTTCTTTAGAGCAAAGGAAGCTGTCGGTGGTTGTTGCATGTCAGGCTGTTGTAAAGAGAAAAGCAATAAACCCAAGGAAACTCGAAAAGAAGGCGCTAATTGTTGCAGTAAAAATAAATCATGAAGATCATATGACTCTTAAACCATATACGATAATTCTGTAATTCTGATTTCGAAATAAATATAAGATATGCTTCGGTAAATTTTCATCTATTCGTTCTTTATTCGGAAAGATTATATATTTGTTTTCTTTTTTTTCTTTTTTTTTTTAATTTAGGAACGTGAATAAATCAAATTGATAATAACTATTATGGAATTTGTTAGAGGAGCAACTAATACAAGAACTCGATCTTCTCTTTTTTCGATCTAGTTTTATTTCATCATCGTTTCGATTTCAATATCGTATTAATCGTATCAATATGTATTAGAAAACGAGAAGCATAACCTTTTAGCAATCTTTTATAAATTTTTCTTTCGGCCAAAATTAATTAAAAAATATTCTGTTTGGCACAATGTTTAATAATTGCAAGTAAGTTTTAATAACAGTCTACGATCTTCTTATTATTTTTTATTCAATTTGTATTTTTATATTTAAAAATTCCAACGATTGTACGATAAAACCACAATCAGAAGATTTCTCATCTCGAAGAATCGATGATGTGGGATAAAAAAATAAAAAAAAAAAAAAAATAAACATTTTATCGTTTTGATACTAATATCGAAAAATTGGATATTTAAGTAGAAAACAAAATTGATGAAATTTTTTAATGATTTCCTATTTACGAAAACTAAAGGCTAAAAATATAAATAATAGAGAAGAGAGAAAAATCCTAATGGTCTCGTAGTAACGATAATTTTGTTATCATACATATTTTGCCGATCATTCTTTACAGGGAAATCAACAACTATAAGGGTCCTCCTTCTTCAATGGAATGCTGCTCTTGGAGGCAAACTTGCTGCGGCGGTGGTTGTTGCGAACCAATTTTGCCAAATTACTATTCTAGCAAGCAAGAGAACGTTAAGTGTTCCCAAAAAGCAATGGCTGCTTCTACTTATGGTTATACTTCTTGGGAAACGACGATGAATGGAACGACTATGAATTCGATCCCTAAAAGCAATGAAACGATTGGTAATATTTCGTCGATTTTCGAATAATTTTTTAAAGAGAAAATTGATGACGTTAACAACGAAAATCGACAAGATGAAATTGATTAGCATATATATATATATCGCTTTTTCTAATCGATATTGATATGTAGTTGATATTATATATAATCGCAAATAATATATATATATATATACATATATATATTCGCAAGTAATATCCAAATGTATCACAGAAATATCTTTGATCAGCAGAAAAAGTATTGTGTTCGAATGTGTCCAGACCAACGGTATGCTACGGCGGAAAATGTGATGATAAAACTATGAGCCAAGATTCAAATACAAGTAACACGAAGGAATATGAAGAAACAGGAAACGGTTTGGTTTCTTCTTCGACTATACGATACTCGGATCGATAAGAATAAGAAATTTATTTGGTATATGTAAAGTGTAAAAGTATCGAACTAATTGTTTGTTTTTCAAGAAAAAGACAGAAATTTAAGAAGAATATCTTTTTGATTGGATCACTTAAACATAGAATAATAAGGACTATTATTTCCCGATCCATGTCGAATAATAGAATTTTTAACCACGTTACTCTTTTCTTCCAAGAATCCTAAGTAAAAGATATAAACCTTGAACCTTAACGTTCTCTACGAAATTAGAGTTGGAAATCTGGAGCGTTCCGAGTAAATCCCTTTCTCTTTTATCTATTATTAACTAGGATTCTCGAAAGAAAAGGGTAAAGTTAAGTTTCTCATTTTCTCGACAAAATATTCAATTAAACTTTTCAACACTATTCGACGTTACAAATACGATGAGAATTAACTCTTGTATTTTACAATCTCATGTATGTCGAGAGATATTCGATAAAATTTTTTATCATTCAAGAAACGAAAAATCAATCGTGATAATAAATTTCGTACTAATAACTTTTAATGCCTATTATACTATTTCACGTTTGTAACAACAAAGATTGTTTGGTTTCCTATTCGCATGATGGTCTCGTATCTGTTTTCATGAAAATTAATGGAATCGACTGGATTACAAAAGGCTAAAGCAATCACTATCGACTGCTATATTCATCCGGAAATTGGAGAATCACTCTGTGCGATACGAAACGGAATGAGATCAACATTCCCAATAGTTTCTACATTTTATCTATATATCCAGAGTATTAAGATGAATTTAGAGTTCAGTGAATGTAATATTCATTAAACTGAGTAAAAAATATAAACAAAGAGAAAAAAAAGAGAAATGCATCTTTATCGAGAAATTAACATCGATTCTTTGACAAATATCATATATTTTCTCTTTGTTATTCTTTTATCGTATCCTTTCCTATCTTTTTCATTTCTTTTCATAAAGATGATCGTTAACAGTAGCGTCATAAAGAGTCAGAGAGAATCAGAAAAGACATGGCTTTGGTCGCGTGCCGATGAAAATCGCAATTAGTTTCGAGTACGTTGGGTTGGGTATGTCGAATCGTTCGGATGTTTCGTCGAATGCAAATCGATCAGTAATTGAATCGCGCGCTCCAACGTACGATTCGCGATAGAGATTTATGCGGAACAGTTCTTTATCGAATATTCAAATATTCACAGGGCAAAGTTTTTTTTTTGTTTCGTGTACCTATTGCAAAAAATAGAGTCATAGGAGTTCGTCGATTGTAACGTCGGACTTGCGATTAGATTTATCTATTAACTGAAATATTTTACAAATAATAATATGTCGAATGTATTTATTTGATTTACGAATATAATATATATATATATATATATATTATAATAAAAGAGTTCTTTAAGACTGGATAACTTTTGAGTTTTCTAGGAAGAATCATTATATCGAAGAAAAATTTTAAATCTTTCATAGAAATAGTTATTAATATTAATGAAAATTATATTGTTCATTAAACATTAATAGACAAAAAAATTGATTCATCAATTAAGAATAATTATTGATAAATTTTTTTATCTCATATATTATCATTGAATTGTACAAATCAATTCGTTCTTATTTCAAAGTACAAGAATCGTTTTCCATAAGGAAACGAAAAATGTAATAAATCGTATTCATTGTGGCGCTTGTGAATGTAATTTATATGCTACTTGTTTATAGGTCGATTTGATATCATAAACGAAATATTGATAGAACGAAACATGAAACATAGCTAGTTGTCAGAATATCAGCATATGTAATGATAACTGATTTCGTGAATAATATATTGAAGTAAAGAAAAAAAAAATATTTCACCGTATATAATAGTAATATTATTATATTTATGAGGAAAAAAACAACTATACAAGGTCTACTTTGGCCATTCTTTGTTTGAACAATTTAGAATGATATCTGATTAATAAAAAATATCATAATAAAATATTGCTTTAGTGAGGTGCAGTAAGTTTCGCCATCAATCTCTCCTCTGACAGCTAAATTCCAGTGGAACGCGAAATCCGTTAAATCAAAAATTCCTATGTCATCCTAAACTATTATATATGTATAAGCATTGTTTCAATTGTATCGATTTTTTGAAATATTGTTTTTTTTACTTTTCTGTTTTTTTTTTCCCTACAAAATGCTACAAGTCTAAAAATATTTCCAAATATCATAAACAATTCTAACATATATTTCAAATATGATAAAAGATGTAATACGTAAAAAGAGTTATATCAGAGTTGTCACGCATTATACGAATTTAATGGAACCATTAGACGAAGGAAACGAAATTCAAAATCTGTAAATAAGAAAGAGAAATAATATTTTCCGAAAGATTTAAATTCGAATCTATGCGAGGATAATAATTACCAGCGGTTGCAATTTGACATAACATCTGGCTACTTGAAACGCTTTATCGCAGAGATCATCTCCAGCTGAAAGAAAAACATTTTGTTATCTTTGAGATTCGAAAGATTTTTAGTGATTTTAAAGAAACGATTTACGGAGGCAAAAGTCGAATGAAATCAAGAAGGAAAATACTTACGGACGGACTTGCATCGACGGAATATTTCCCATGAGGATTCCTGTATAAATCTCGGTAAATGTTGAAGTGCCTTTTCCAAATCCGTCCACTGATCGTTGTCATCGAGTATACCATTTTTCATCATAAAGCATCGTAGATAACATTTTATTCGTGGATCATCTTGCTCGAAATCGCCGTCTTTTAATTTCTTCAATGATTCTACAAAATATAGATATCGAGTTGATTTCGTTTATCTTTTATAATCATCATATAATATCGTATCATTTAAATTTATGATGTTACTGCACGACAATGATATAAAGGTTGTTTAAAATGATTTTCAAGCTAACACCAAGTTTACCCTTTAAAGGGTAATCGATCAATTTGACGTTGGATCAATCATTATTCCATTTGTCTATTAAGTACCCTTACCCCATGAAACCATTGACTGCTTGCGGCATTCTCTCTTGATATCCGCTTTCGTCGAAACCTGCAAAATGTATTACGATTGGTAGACTCCTTTATCTCTGGGTTGCATAGGCTCGTTCTATACGAGTCACGATGAGAAGCCACGAAAGCGAGAAAACGTGTTGTTTCGATCACGAGATCGCCTATATTTCCCTATGTATTGAGTACATAGGTAGATACATAAACGTACACAGAGTATCGCGTAAAATCTCATTTACAGGACTTTCTATTTTAGGAGGACAGGATACGGCGAACGAACAAACTCATGGTTCTCTAGGACAATAGAACTATCATGCACTCCAAAACGAGAGCGGTGCAAGGCATTGTGTGTGTACGCTGTGCAACATGATGGCCGTAACATTCGTCGGGCGTAATGAATTTTGAGAAAGAGAACGTACGAACGAAATTAAATCACCTGTACATGTATACATTAAGTAACTTTACCGTTGGGATAATTTTTCGAATAGTTTTTTCTTAACTAATTTTAAAGAACATTTATTCATACGTCGTGTAAATTCACTTTTCATCGATTATAAGATTTTACTGACTATAAGAAGATACTTAGAGTATAAATCTATTATGTGTGAGCTAACGTGTGTTGATACAACTATAATAAAACGCTTACAACTCAAGTAACAATAGTTTTTTCAGAGCATCGACACGGAGAATGAACATTTAAGGGTCAACGATGCATCAAATTTCAAGAGAAAAACATAGATAGCATAAAATAAAAAAACAAATGATGTCACGAGTATCGTCCGAGATAAAAAAAAAGATTAATAAAGAGTAATTATCTTTTGTTTCTTGCGGAAAAAAATCGACAAAAAAGTCTGAAATTTGATTATAATCATCGCCATTAAATTTCTACATTATTAGATGTCTTTATTGTCTCATTGTATCGTACGTTTGCAACTTTCACTCCAAATTTTCTCGTCATCTTATCCTTTTACGATCAATGATCCATAATCACGTTGAAATAATCAGGTTCGTAGAAAATTTACTAGACCATCGATTATCGATCAGACGTACCAGAAGAGCCAAGAGAATCGTGCAAACGACGAGCAATCGACCATTTATCTTCATTCTTGAATCAGAGAGCCGAGCTTTCTTCGAATTATCTTTCGAATTTATCCAAGAATTATCCCTTATCTCCACACAAACCGTATCACTTTTTTTGTTCCTTTTCTTCTCGTTTTACCAACTAGTATATCTTCCTTCGAAACTTTTGCGAATCAATTGAATCGGATACTTCGAAATTTATCGGAACGCTTTAATTGCACCGTCCGTAAGTATATAGCTCATAAAAAATGCATGTATACAGAAAGTTTACAAAACTTTACATACGTATTATCGCTCGACCTAAGTATATACTCGTAATGTTAATCGATTGATAGAGAAGTATGTCAATCGGGTTAGTCGGTTAAAACGATTCGTTTTCATTTATGAATAATCATTATATACAAACATATATTGCATATTTATTTCATTTGATTTTAATTAATAATTCTTTTTTTTATTTATTTGTTTATTAATTTATTTACTTAATTTTTTTGGTTTATTTTTTTTTTTTTTTTAACAATATTAGTTGCATTATTGTTACAGCTACTGCTGATATGGAGATCTTTCGAATAAATCCAATAATTGATAAACCTGTAAATAAAAATGTTTATATAAACAATTAGAATGTAGAAGTTAAATAAGCCACAATGTGTATTTACCTCTGGATTATAATCGAAAAAGCATTTTACTATATCGTAAGCATATTCGCAAAGTTCGTTTTCTCCTTTGAGAAAGGCTGAAAACATGATATGTATATATACGTATAAATATTTAAAGAACAAACGTATTTTTAATTGATTATTAGGAAAATGTTAAAAAGGTCTAAAAATTAACATAGCAAACCTAATTTTGAAACAAAACCTTTTGACTTCTCCTCATTTTTATTGTTGCATATAAATAGAACTGGCCTAGATGATTACTGTAAATCTTCATCCAATAGATTCAATGCGGTTTGTGGATAAAACATTCCAAAAGCATCCATCTGTTTAGAAAAATTCTTGATTAAATTTTTTTGAATACAAAATAAAGAAAATCATAAAATCAAATAATAAAATACAGGAAGAAAAAGAGATATCTTACGATCTTGATTTCCCTTGAAAAGACAATACAAGTAACATTTGTAAGATTCTGGATCATTGTCATACTTTATGTCATACTTTAGCTTCTTGTCATACTTTAGCTCGTCTGGAAAAACATTTTAATTAATATTTTTTTTTGAATATAAGTTTTTTGACGATGTATCTAATCAATAAACTTTTGTTTTTACCTGCGATTAAGTTAAATTTCTGAACACATTTTTCTCTCGCGGGTCTATAAAGGTCATTGTTTCCCTCATTTCCTGAGATTTGAATAACGTATAAGAGAGAAAAAGAAAGAGAGAGAAAGAAAGAGAGAGAGAGAAAGAGAGAGAGAGAGAGTGAGTGAGAGAAAGGAAGGGAGAGGGAGAGAGAAATTAACATGAGCAATAAAGCATACAAGCAGTGATTTCTGTGACGATCGATCGGAATCGTACGATTCGTTCGGCAAATTGCTCGAGCGTGACATTAATCGCGTAGCTGTCACGAACCAACGTACGTATATCAACGATAATCGAGTTGTTGGGATGTTTAATCTGACCGAATCGCGGTTAGAAAGATTTCCTGAGATTCGTCTTAAATTGGAGTGCTTCTAAATAGTCGTGCTTTCCCATCATCGATTTAATCGATTATAGAATAATGTAGTAGTATATATGTCTATTTGGATAAAATTGAATTTTATTTTCAAATATATCACTTTATGGATAAAAGAAAGTTATTAAATGTCATCATCTCTATTCATAGTTGAAAATATTGAATGTCACTTATATCTCTTTTTTTTTTTTTTTTTTTTTTTTTATTAATTAACAATTGAAAATTGAACTCTAACGAATTTTTTTCTATTTCGCGTTGAAATGAAAATTAGTTTTAGTATAATCATACCGCCACTATAATACAATTACTATATAAGGAAAAATTTGCTGTATAAGGGAAAGTTAATTTTTGGATACGAAGACGCAATGAATGAAAATATTGAACGGAGTTTATAAAAAGGGAAAAAAACTTTTAAGACACTTACTGTTATGAATGCGACAAATAATAGAAAAAAATTTTTAAAGGAACACATCGTTCACAAGAAAATGTATACAATTTGTATTTAGTTTTCCACGTAGCTCTCTTGCTTATAGGATATTTTATCTCAAAAATTTGCATAATTTTCTTTACTAATGCTCACGTAGCACATTACATAACTAGTTTAAATCTTATCTTATCTATTTAATTTCAACATAAAAATACGATTTATTTAATTTAACGATCGCATGTTCGTCCAAACGAAATAATGAGCAAATTTTATTATGTTTCAAACATTTTATATTTTATTCTATTTTATTCTTTATATTATTTAAGGAAAAAAAAAAAGAATTTCGCATTTCGCGAAATAAATCTATTTGAAATCTATTCCATTCGATTTACGTGAAAATGATTAAACGATATCATAAAATATATATTAAAGATAAGAGAAATATTGAAGAATTATTATTTGAAAGAATAAAATTAACACGCATTTTGACGAATTTTTAATGAATAATTATGTTTATCGTTATTTACTTTAAATATAGATAATTCGACAAGAGACAGAACCAATCGATGTGTCACAATTTCCTTTTCCGAGTTCGAACGGACATCATAAATTCGATTCGTATTTCTCCAAGCTGGCAAATATAGGAACAAAAAAGAATAAATCCGGTCTTCTTTTTTGGGAAAACGAAGAAAAAGATTAATTTCCTTTCAGAGTCCGTTTACCCTTGTAAATAGCCGGAAGCGCAGGTGGTCGTTCGATAAAAGAAGAAAAGGCTGTTTGGTAATCGGATGTGAAAGAAATATTAAGGGTCTGTTCAAAAGACTTTATATATATATGTATAGGTACATGGTGTTCCGTAACTGGTTCTGGCAACCGATAATCTAATGATATTATTAGATTTGCTGACAAATTTAATCCACATAGAATAGAATTATTCTACAATCAAATATTGTTAGATAATTGCCTGGACCTTTAGAGAAACGTGTTATAATAAATTCTCAATATCGGGTTACGCGATAACGTTACAAGATATCAAAGAGTCCTTTCTTTTCGATTTCTAAATTTATCTAAAATAATTATCTTAAATAAAGTTATTAATATTTTGTATCTCGTTAAACCTTTGGAAATGTTAGCCATAGATATATTTTAAAAAATTAGTAGGGCTATTACAAAGATTAAACTGAATTTTAATCAATTTCAATTAACGAGCAACAAAATAACGTGCGAGCAGTAATTGCTCTTAGGATCGATTGAGTGAAAACGATTGCAGTCGCTAGTGAATTATTGACGCAGTTAAGCGGTGATTTTCTAAAATTCTCTTTCACGTATTATTAACTTTAAAAAGATCCTCGACAACGAAGCTGGCAATCACTGATCAAACGTTTCGAACGAATAGACTCATCAATCTTGATGAATTTGTCAATTTATCGGCATTTTATTGAGATTTACTCGATAAAGTAACAAATAAACGAGCAAAGAGATTGAAGCATAAATTTATTCAAAAATACGATTTGTGATAAACGGTTATTAATTTATTAGACATGAAGACGTTAAAAATATTACATCAATTATGTCACTTAAGTTAATAATTTAAATATTCGAAGACAGAAGTTTATTCTCAATATTATGAGCTTATATTTCGAATATTTGTAAAATGTATACATAAGTAAATTATTTTATTACGATCTAATGATTATCATTTTTAAATAATAACAATAACTCAATTACTTGTTGCATTAATTCATCTTAATAGATTTTAAATACTAAGAAATATATATTTTTGGTATTAAATAAATATTCCTGGATAACTTAGAAAAATTAAAATATATAACATATTATGTTTTATAAGATTATTTTATTTTTCAGACGAAATGATGTAGAACTTTGACATTCTAATAATCTTATGTAATAAGTTAAGTGAGTTTAATAGAATAAAAAAAAAAAAGAAAAAAAAAAAGAAAAAGAAAAATCGATTAAAAATCTTTAAATATAGATATAGAAAAGTCAATCTATTAATAAATTTTAGATAGAAAAGTTTATTTTAAAAATCTATCGAAGTATCCTATCAATCTAGAGCACGATTATTTTTACATAATGAAAAATTATTTAAATAAAAGGAAAGAAAATTATATCGTAGAGTTAATAATATATACGTACGTTCTCAAATCTATGTAAAAAATAGAAAATATCTAGGTAGGTAGGTAGATAGGTAAGTAGGAAAGAAGGAGGATTATGTAGACATAAAGTCTACATAGATAGAGTTGCGACTATGAGGCAGTCTAGCGCGATCACAGAGGGAGGGGGATTACGTTCAAATCGACTCGACTCGATTCCCTTGTGCGGGATGCGCATTGCGCTATGTGAGGAGCGCGCATGCGCCTTGCTCGAATAAATGGTAGAGAGCGCGGGTAAGAGCGGATAAACTCGATGTGCGCGACGGTCGCATCGCGAAACGATTCGATCGTTCCTACGAGGAGTATCTTGTCGTCCGTTCGATTATCTCGCGAATATTATAATTGATTATATTTTAGAACGAGTCAAAGGTCGCGATTTGTCTCATTTTGTTTTTTCTTTTACGAGTTTAATCAACTAGTCGCATTTGAATTATTGAGGTTAGGTGGTTTAGTAGTAAATTATCGTTATACAAGATAGAGATAGGGAGAACGAAAGAGTGTATATGTGTGTGTGAATGTGTGTGTGTGTGTGAGAGAGAGAGAGAGAGAGAGAGGGTGTATGAGAGAGAGAGAGCGAGAAGAGAAGAGAAGAGAAAAGGTCGTCGGTGGCGCTGCGGAGACTTCGCGCACAAGAATAATTAAAATCAATGTGACTTTGGTGCGGTGTTCGACGAGTCACGTTCTGCGTGCGTCGGTTTTTTAAAAAGCACTACATTTACACGACCGACATAGAGAGAGGGATGTCGAACGGATTGATGCTGCCGAATGATAATCACGATACGTGCCAGACGAGTAAGGACACACTGAATAACGTTCCTCGTCTATCGTATCCGTCTACGATATTTCTGTCCCTCTTTTCTCATGATGCGATCCTACGCAGCTAGCACCACCTCGATGGTCACCGCTAATGCCGCTGCATCCGTGGAGGGGTTGCAGGGAGAACACTCTACTGAGGTAAGTTTTAGCTAATTAGAGTTATTTTTAGAAAGAACCTTTTCTCTACCTCAGCACGTATTCCTACTCTCATTATCCCTTTTGCAGATGGACCAGCAGAACGTTACCAGGCCTACGTTGAAGAGACCTGAGTCTGATCTGGAAGGTCAGTTACAGATTGTTCCTGCGCTTTATAACGTAGAGTATGATTCTTTTCCTTATTTTCTTTAGTTCAATAAATTTTTCTCTTATCAGTTATACAATGTTGTACAATATCTTTGAACGAATTAGTTTTTGTTTTATTTTTTAACAGATCCTATACCAAAAAAGCGTCACAAAAATCCACAGCCAAAAAATGCAGTATGTGCTTTAAACGAATTGAAGACTGGAGCAGTATACAAGGTAGTTGGTCAAACTGGACCTACTCATGCTCCTATATTTACCATCGCCGTGCAGATAGATGGACAGACTTACGAGGGAAAAGGACGTACCAAAAAGATGGCCAAACATGCGGCTGCTGAACTTGCTTTAAGGAATATAGTGCAGTTTCGTAACACACCGGAAGTACATCAAGCTATTAACACGTGCCAGCCTGTCGTTCCCCTGGAACCTGATTTTACCAGTGACGTCACAGAGAGAGATAATCATCTTGTAAATGCATTCAAAACATTGACTCAAGAACCAAAGAATACTAATAAATTTTTGGACAAAGGTCCCGTTGCCCTTATCAATGAATTATATCCTGGAGTTGTATACAAATGTATATCAGACAGCGGGGAAAGTTATGCTAAGTTTACAATATCTGTAACAATCGATGGAGAAACTTTCGAAGGCACTGGTCCGAGTAAAAAGTTGGCCAAAGCTGCTGCCAGTAAAGCAGCCTTGGCAAAATTAAGGAACGTTCACAGTTCCTCTTTTTGCATTCAGCTCCCTGTTCGTGTATTACCTAACTTTTCGAATTCCGGTCATTGGCAGGAACAAATGACTTTGCCACAAATCTTGGCAGATAAAATAGGAAAAATGGTAAATCAAAAATTCACTGAACTTATACAGAGCAAGCCACAACATGCTCGACGTAAAGTATTAGCCGGCATAGTGCAAACGAATGGGTCGGATGCCGAATTAATATGCGTCACTACTGGTAAAGCGTAGATCTCTGTAAAAACTGTTTTGGAGGTAATAGGATTTTTATCCGTTTTTATTCGTTTAAGGTACAAAATGTGTATCCGGGGATCATTTAAGCGTAAGCGGTAGGGCCCTAAATGATTGCCATGCGGAAGTGGTAGCACGACGATGTCTCTGTGAATATTTATACAAGCAATTGGAGTTGCATACCGAAAATCGTTCTGCCGAGTCTGTCTTGGAACGTATAAAGAAAGGGTTTAGATTAAAGCAGGGAATTCAGTTTCATTTATACATAAATACAGCTCCTTGCGGTGATGCCAGAATATTTTCTCCTCATGAAGAAAACGAATCGGTGGACAAACATCCTAACAGAAGGGCCAGAGGTCAATTAAGAACCAAGATAGAATCAGGAGAAGGTACGATACCTGTGAAGAGCAGCGAAGGAATTCAGACTTGGGATGGTGTTCTTATGGTAGGTACAGGGTTCTAAAATTTAACTAATGCGAATTATTTTATCCCTTTAATAATTTTATTTAACATTTATTTATTTATTTCAATTCACAGGGACAAAGACTGCTGACGATGTCGTGTTCAGACAAAATAGCTCGATGGAACGTACTTGGTGTGCAAGGTGCACTTCTAAGCCACTTCATCGAGCCAATTTACTTCCACAGCATCGTTCTCGGCAGTCTGTTGAACCCAAGTCATATGTATCGAGCTGTTTGCGGTCGTATCGAAAATACTATTCAAGGTTTACCACCACCGTATAGGCTCAATAAACCATTGATGAGCCTCATAACTTCGTCTGAAGTTAGACAACCAGGCAAGGCACCGAATTACAGTGTAAATTGGACTATTGGTGCGTATGTTTAGTTCGTTTAATATATCTTTTTCCAGTCGTAACGAGTATTTTTCTTTTTAATAATATACGCAGGTCAAAGCGAAGCAGAAGTTATAAATTGTACAACCGGAAAGGACGAATTGGGTAAACCCTCTAGGATTTCAAAACAGGGTCTCTTCAGGAAGTTCTTCAGTCTATTAGGTAAATTGGATACGATCGACGATGCCGATCAAAATCAATGCCGTCATTACCTCGATGCTAAATCATCGGTTCAAGATTACTCTGTAAGTTATTGTTATATAATATTCGTTACAGAGACATTCATATACATGCAAGATATATATATATATACACACACGCACACATACAGACACATATATGCAGAGAAAAAAAATTGTTGTTTTATTCTGTTTTCTTTTATGATAGCTTGCCAAACGTCAATTGAAGGACGCGTTTGTACGCGCTCAACTAGGTAGTTGGGTAAAAAAACCGATTGAGCAAGATATGTTCGAGGTGGATATCTGACTAAATCAGAGTATCGATGCGAACCCAACGAATAGGATAAACTCTCAGTTAGCGGAGTATGTAGTTCCTAGTGTAAAATAGATCGCTCGTTCGGCGTGTCATGCTATGGCAGAATTTGGCATCAGTAAAGCATAAATCGTAGGATGTTAAAAGCAAATATTTTGACTTTGTCACTGCACGATTCAACGACTAGTAAACATGTCGCGTTCAAAGTGTACAATGAATCAATTGTTTTCGATTTTAATCGAAAGCAAAATCAAATCGGTACTCTTCGAATTTTTTGATCTTAAATGCTAGTCACACGTCAATTTTTGACAGTTTCTATAGACTGGTAGATAGATAAGGCGAAAAATTTCGTTTCATAAGCGTTAATAATTAATCGAAGGGTGCAAGAGTATTAGAATGTTTTAGATTTTACTTTCTGTCGGTGTGTCGAGAAATCTGTGGATATTTCAGGATGAAACGAGTCAGCACATATCCATTTTTCGGAGTCTTATTGTTAAACTTTGTCGTCGTTCTCGTACATCTATCTAAGTTTTATTGGACGAAACAGAAAAGACCCTTTACATCCTCCTTCTCTTTCTTCCTTTTAATTAACTTCACTGCCTACCAATTTTCCTCGAGGAACCTATGCTTCGTGGTTAAGCTTCGATCAAAAACTTTTCACGTAAATTTTATTCAACTTTTATATTTTATTTCAACGTTTTCTTTAAATAAAACCTATCTCGTTCTAGTACAATTATTCGGAACGAACGAAAGTGTAGTTTCAAATTTCAATAGCCTGAGTAATGTACGTGATACCGCAAACTCTAATTCAACGAGCCTATTGTGTCGACAATGTGTATCCGGGTCACTTATTTCTAGGAGCTGTTGTATCTGTATTCATATACATTCTCTATATACCTATATAGACAAAGAGAAGAAGAGAGATCCTCTTGAAACGATTCTCTTTTTCTCTTTCACTTTTATTTGAAACTTTATAGGTCTTACTTCTGGATAATAATTAAGCTATTTTAAAGGACTTTTAGTAATGTCATCGTTTTCCTCAAATAATTCTTCCCTTTTTTTTTTTTTATCTGTATGCAAGTTATTTAACGTGCAATAAGTTTTGATTTAAAATATGAAATATCTTAAGTATCCAGGCTATACCACTAGCAAAGTTGGACCCTCGTTCCTCTCTCTCTTCCTCTCTCTCTTTCTCTCTCTTCCTTTCTCTCACTCTCTCACTCTCCGTCTCTCTGCATTTCCCCTCTTCTTCACTCTTCCTTTTAGAAATCCAAGCCATCATTAGAACGAACTCAGACTCCGCGGTTGTTTTTCCTGAGGTCCCTCGCGGGAAAAATCAATGTCCAGTACCGTGCAGCGAGGGATCTACCCGCGTAGCTGCGGTATTGTTTTAGTAGGGCTCTAGTATTTACTGCATCCCTGTGAAAGGCTGTGACCGGATCCAGATTTTAACGAAGGATTTTTTAAAGACATCTTAATCGTTTATTGTATCGTGAAATTTGATAAACGAACAAGAAGAAGCGAAAGACATTTTCGATGGCGAAAAATCAATCGGAAAAATATAAAAAAAAGATATCTTTGTGAAAAAATAAGACATTTCTTTTCTTCGACGTTTGATTTATCGTCTTCGCGAATCCTTCGGTGAGAGAAGAGCGTCCTTCAACAGTTCGATGTCGTTACCATTAATTTTGATAGCACGTATGTGAGAATGCATGTGCGTGTATGTATGTATGTATGTATGTATGTATGTATGTATGTATGTATGTATGAAAAAGATTAGATGAATTAGCGCGAATGTTTACGTTTACCAAAGAGAAAATGAAACGTGAGAGAAATGTGAGAGCAATGCTATTTAAAGAGTAAAGTATTAGTAGAAGAGTAAGTTATAAATATTAATAAATAAATTAGCGGATGATTATTTAGAAAGTCCTAAGATCGTTGCCTCACTGTGCCAGTATTACAATTATAATGCAATTCTGCCGTAGTGACACACTGCCCGAAGTCGGTCTAGTTTTGCGTCAAAGAACTCGACGACTCCGCCCGTGTTGCTTCTTTCAATTTACTCTCCTCGATTACCAAAACCAAAATATTTGCGTTCATATTTATGTATGTTAAGTTCATATCTACGTTTTTAGTTGCATTTAGTTTAACGACAAGTATTTTAGAAGAAGAAAAAAAGAAAATAAGAGAGAGAGGGAATATCGGAATGAAATGGAGCTATATATACATATACAATATATTTATCGATAAAGTTAAAGTCATCTACGTATCACATCAAATATTAGCTCTATGTAATTTTTTTGTTCATCTAGATGTAGTTAACGTAAATATTTACGTTTTTTTTATACTCGTTTTTTCGATTTACTCTCACTCGACATAATATTTTTTCACATCACTGATAATGACAATCCTAGGATTTTAGTTTGATCTTTTTATTTATTTATTTATTTATTTATTTATTTATTCTGTTGTATATGATATTATTACTATTTTCTTGCCTTAAAAAAAAAAAAAAGCACAGATATTTGCTAGAAGTAGCTAGAAATTTATTTATTTTGTTTATTTCGTTATGATAAGGCATTTATTTTTATATTATTTTTGTTTATTTTTTTTTTTGTGATAAAACCATAAAATTAATGATATCAACGAAAATGATTTCGCTTTGTTTAAATTGAAGCTGTTATTTTTATATTGTTATATTCTACAAGCATGTATTATATGCATAAAAAGAACAGTGCCATAATAGAATATCATGTTGCAAATCGATTCCAACGGGTTCAACATTTTCAATATCTTTTTTCTATTTTCATTACTTTTTTCTCTAATCTAATCACTGACATTCTTTCCCTTTCTTTCCTTTCCTCCCTCCCCCTCTCTCTATTTCTATTTCTATTTATATCTTTCTTCTCAAGAAAGAACGATGCATTTCTTTTGTTGTAGTGCGTATACAAACGTACGTAGCAACGATCGTGCCAAGAAACGCAATCGTTACGTTGCATCGTACATTAACATAAATATTAATCCTCTATAACTTTCAAATTATGTATTATCATATATGCATCTTATTTCATATTCTCGTTGAAAAGAAAAGAAAAAATTCATTTCAAAATCATACCCATTGTTTACCAAGTTGTTTACTAAGTATAAATCATACTTGATGTAATATAATATCAATATGAATATTTGAATTATTTGAGTTATAAGAAAAATTGGGTTATAGAGGATTAAAAAGCACGATGAAAGAGTAAAGAAGACATAGGTGCTTTTTTTTCCTTATTGTTAGCTGACGCTTCTTCTAGTAGTCGAGACCCGTTTGTTGGTTCTATCGCCCTCCGGCTAAATGAAAACGAAAGAAAAGGAGGCTACGATGTTAAATACGACAAGAACAACGAGTCATCATTCGTAGTAGGAAAGCTCAAGGACGTACATGCCTCCATTCTCCTTCTCTCTTTCATCATTGTACTTGTGCAGTAGTAGCAGTAACGATAGCAGCGAGGTATCATGTATATATATATATATGTGTATATAATGTATATGTGTATATATATACACATATTATATATATATATACACACACCAAAGGAATCGCGTAAAAACATACACGTACATGTAATACGTATACATATGTACTTATACATATAAATATAATACATTTTTAGAAAAAGATTATATACCACTTAGTGGTTGAAAAGTGATCGGTATAAATTTTGAGAGTGAGAATTTAGTTATTAATTATTACTCAGTAGTTTTAGTAGAATTTAAAAAGAACTTCGATTTCCAGTTTCTCTCCTGTTATACGAAGACATTATCTATTTACAAGTAGTAACAGTATCGCGGGTGAGTCACCTAAAAACTAAAATATAAATATATCTCGGTTATTTTTGATGATAAAAATAAAATTTCTGAAGAAGAATATGTTTAATTCGAAGGGGTTGATATAGGAGTGAAAACTTTTACTTATATATCATATTTTTTACAATATAGGGATAAAATGGAACTCGATTCTCTTGATTATGAACAAAATGTAAAACAGATCAAGATATATTCTAAACGTTCATTGTAATAAAAACGAAATATCGTCCTTCAAGTCCTCATATTTTTTAATCTTATAAAATATTTTGTGGAAAATGAAATAAAATGAATAATGTGTATTCAAATTTTCTTAAGACAATACTATTTATAATGATGATATATATATATATATATATATATATATATATATATATTCTAATGTGTTTGTTAGAAGTCTATTAAAGTACACGTTAACTACTAATTGACATTGTTGTTAGGATATAAAATTAAGAACTATTGAATATCGTAAGTAAATTTGTAGTATTTTTGTTTAGAGTGACCACAATAGATTAATTTTTTAATTCCCGCTATATGAATTTTTTCGAATAAAAAGCTTCTTCAAAAATCTTTTCTTATCATCACAAGTAATAAAGATGTTCATGTTTCACACTTTTAAATGACTCTCCCAATATGTACACATACATACATATATATATATATATGTGTGTATGTATGTATATATAGACACACACACACACACACACATACACATATCTCGAGCTCGTTTTCGAGTTATCGAAAGAACATCGAGTATCGAGCAGGAAAAATTTTCTTATAGTCAGCTAGATTTTAAGCTTGACTAGTGCCTCTAGATGTAATTTCTCCGATAAGTAAGAAAATCGATCTAGTTGAAATTACAAATAAATATCTTTATTTATCAACATCTAAAAAATGAAAAAAAAAAAAACTAAGAAAAAAGAGCGAACAAAGACAAAGCAGGGAGAGAAAGAAAGAAAGAGAGAGAGAGAGAGAGAGAGAGAGAGAGAGAGAGAGAGAGAGAGAGAAAGCACGAATCAATGAATGAGCGAACGAAACACGACCGACACTTTTCTTCGTCTTCTTTTTATTTCACTTAACTCTCTATTAAAATATTAATGATTTGACATTTTTTTTGTGCGCTTAGAAAAAGAAATTTTATGGACTCGTGTGTGGTTTTAAAAAAAGAAAATATGAAAGATGAAATCTCTTTACTGACAGATTTCTTCTCTATGATCTGGTATTCATAATTTCAAGCGAGATTAGTGGAAGAAATACATTTGTTTTTGCATATTGTAAGCGTGCGCGAGAAATTGCAGCCGCTAGCTTTTTACACGCTCAACAATACTTATCATCATTGTGTTTTGTAATTTACTTTTTTGTCTTTTTTTTTTTTTTTTCTTTTTTTTTTTTTTTTTTTTTTCAAAAGAAAATGAGTAAGGTAATGAGCGCGAATTCAAGTTTTTTAAATAAAAAGAAAATCTGTTGCAATCGAGAAAACGATGTTAGCGATCATTTACCTCGCATCGACACTTAACAAGATCTTTTTACAAAACAAAAGAAAAAGAATCTAACTTGAAAATATTTTGAGATAGAGAAAAGAAATATATAAGAGCCATCATTCTTTTTTTTTTTCAGACTTTATAGAATTATATTTATATGATTATATTTATATGATTATTTTTATAGGATTTTCTTACTTTTTAAACCAACGATTTAAAGTTTAAAGTTTTGATAGTTTTGGAATAGAAAAGAACATATAACAGGTGTAGTTTTTTTTTTTTTTTTCAAACTTTATAGATATTACATTTCCATCGCGTGTATATGGGAATTAATTATCTTCCGATAACGATCTATGACAATTAGCATATCGTATAGTCATCGTAGTATTTCGTACTTGATTTCGAATCTACTATAAATGTATCTTTCTTTCAAGATCTTAATGAATAACAATAAATTCGAAGCATTGTTAATTGTTTCTCAGGTTCAATATCGTAAAAAAAAAATAACAAGTTAGAAAAAAAAAGAAATTTGTAAGAAAAAAAATCTCGATTAATGTGAATGGTCAGGTACGAAGTACGATCGATCTTCAGCACATTATTAAATATATATATATATATCGCAGCTTAACATTTACGTGATATGTATTCCATTTTCTTTTTTCTTCTAATTATTTATGTATCTCCTTTTATTTTTTCGTCTAATTATATAGTTCTTATCGTGTCTTTGAATTTCCATATTGCGAAAAAGAGGCCAAGGCAAACGGTATATATAACGACGGACAACTCGTAGAATTTTAAACAATCGATATAAAATGACGTATATCGGTCGTTCTTCGAAAATTAACAGAAAGATGTTTTAGTCTGTGAATTTGTCTCATTTTCTTTTTTTTCTTTTTTTTTTTTTTTTTTTTTTTTTTTTTTTTTTTTTTTTTTTTTTTTTTTTTTTTTTTTTTTTTCGTTAATTAAAACTTTCTAAATCTCAAAATTAACAGCGCAACGTAAAATATAAACCTACCTTTAAATTCGCAAAGATCAGCGATGAAAAATCGTAAGCTTCAAGATCAGAGATTGTCTATCAAGTTGGCATATCTCTCTTCGTATATTCCTCAATACGATTCGGGTCGAACAAGAATAAAATGATGATAAATGTTGAATAAACTTTTTAAAGACAATTTTATTTTGAAACACACCTTTCCCCAAGAGGCAGAACATTCGAATTCGTTACGTTGTCACGATATTTCGTTTAGGAAAGACATCATTTTTCTTTCAAAGTAGATGATTGATCAGGAAATGGATGATTGCATAAGCAGCGATAATAATCGAGGCACGATCGAGAAGCTTTTGATATTGAAATTTGTTATATAGCCTATGATATGATAGCGCTTTTTTACTTATTTTAAATTTTAGAATCATCACATACAATTCATTTTTCAATTTCGTATAATATAACTAAATAAAACGTTGATTAAGTTCGTCTTAAATAGGCTACGAAATAATGGAAACTCTGGGTTATTGGATAATTTAGTGGTGAGACTAATTCGTAAACACGAAATGCACCGAGGGAAACCCAGGTTTCAAATATCAGTCCAAACAGAGTCCATTTTTTTCGTAGGCCTATAAAATGTTACAATAACGTTGCAAATTAGAATTATACTACGCAGAATGAATCGTCGTCCGTGAGTACGCTCCCACTATATGAACAATTAGAATGCGAGCGCAGATTACAGTACATATAATTCATTACGGACAGAATATATACTTTATCGCTAACGTATGATCACATTTAATATTTTATTGAGTCTGGTAAATTATTGATTTCTTGTTAAATCGAAACAATGCAAAATTTTAACGAGTGACTATATCTCGAGTCCTCGTTGATAACGAAAAAATAGATATAAACTATATATTATTGAACCAAACGAAGTTTTACAACAATCAATATGTTCTATTAATCTATATATGATTGATCTATATATGATATGACGCTATGAGATATGATAGAATTCGTTTCTTCAAAAAGGATTCATGATGATCGAAATCGAAGGACGACGATGATTTTTTTCTTTTTTATCTTCTTATCTTAGAAGAATCTTATTATATGAACTAGGTGACGAAAAAAAAAAGTATGTTAACATATAATATATCGTCGAACAAGTAAAGTGGATATGTTCGCTAATTTTTACATAAGAATTACCATATAATATCTACAAGATGATCGAGAATAGATCACTATGGATCATCTGATGGTCGAGATGGTGTGCATATGATACGTGAACGTTGCCGATTTAATGCGTTATTAATATTGTTATAAACCAATTTCACGATAATTTCATATAAGCGGGACATATCCCAAGAGATTTTCTTTCTATATATCATATATTATCCCTGAATGCTTATCCTACAGTGAAACGTAGAGTATTATGTAATAATAAAAGTTGTATATAGTGAACAATGAAATATTTGAAGTATTTCGATTAAACATACTATTTTGGGCAATCTAAAGTATCAGTTGACACTTCTTTCATTAATGCATTTATCTGCATATGTTTCTCGTTTGATTTTGTTGGAAGAACTTTCATCTTTACTATATACAAACTTTTCTTAATTATTTAGAAACAAACAAGAAGCGAATGACATCAGTTTTCTCATCGATATGATTATTTATAAATATCGAAGTCTGTAAATGATCCGAATTAAAAGATTCCCCACAAACAAAATTAATTGTTTATTATTTTTATAATAATTCAACCCAACAAATAT